TTAACCCAGTTTTGAACCTCATTCATTCATTCATTCATTCATTCAGTGACTGTGGTGAGGTGGGCATTATACTAGTCTCTAGGGATATAAAAATGACTAAGATAGTCTCTAATCTCAAGTGGTTCCCAGTCTTAGAGGGAGACAGGTATGGATTTCAAAATATGTTGGCACTTGATGAACATTCTAGTGGAGACACCAGGTGTGCTCAAAGTGCCATAGGGTTGGAGAGGCGCCTAGAGGATAGGTCGCCTAACTGGTCAGGGCTGCTTGGGCAGAGGTCTCAAGATTCCACGGAGTGTATGGATGTGTGTGTTGTGGGGAGGGAGGTTGGGGACAGCACAGGAATGCAGATGCACAGAGATGAGGAAGCCACAGGGTACGACATGATGGCAGCTGGCTATGTTTTCCCACTTATGTATGTTGAACACCCCTGACATGCTTGAAGTTCTGTTTTGAACATAAATTAACTTTAAATGGTGGCAACTGGCTCTCAGGTGTATTGCTGGGTTCCATTGACAAGGTGCCCCAGTAGGTTACAACTGGAGGACGTGGTGTTCCTGGTGTGTTGCAGCTGGTTATGCTGTGCCATATTGCAGCCGTCTGGCCCTGAGTCCGGGATGCTTCTGCTAGATCGTTACTGCAGGATCAGCCCCAGGCCCTGCGGCCTGGGCCAGGTTTTTGTTCCTGCATGAATGTGGTGAAGCCAGGGAGTGTTTTCTCTGCCTGCATCTGATTGGAACGGAAGTTTATGTTTATTACTGGGTTCTCTTCTGAGTGGCTGCCAGTGGAGCCAGCGGCGGGCTGACTGCTGTAGTTGTGTGAGGAGGCAGACACCCTGCCAGAAACACCATGCCCACTGCTTTTATGTGGCTGCAGCTGTGACTATTACATGTGTGGAGGTTTTTAAATGAGAATAGAAAACAGGAAAAATGTATTTCTTTTCCAAAAATGTAAATATTGGACTACTTACTGCCTCCTTCCATTTTTAAAATCAGTCATCTATCCTATTTATTGAATTAATAGAATTGAGACATTTTGCAGCCATTTCTAATTTTTAAGTTTTCAAAGCACTTGGGCCTGGATCTTATTTTTTCCCCAACCAATTTTAAGTTGTTCTGTATCTATTTTTTGTTACATCATATAAGACAGCCATACTTCATGACAGTTCCCTGTTTCTAAATCTGTTGCAGAATCTTTAAACTGAGATATTCTAGCAGGTACCTTCTGATGGCTGGGTGTCTTTATTCATGGTGATCGTGTTATTCATAATAATTTACTGAGCATCTGTTGATGAACTATCCTCGTTTTTGTTCAGATATCCATGTTCAGAGAGTTTTCTCACACTATGCGGTGCATTGCATTACCATGTGTGATTGTTCTGGACTGTATATTGCCTTCGCTTCCTCCTGTGTGACTATAATAGTAGTTCCTCCCTGGGGTCAGGTGAGCATTTCACACCTATAGGTCAGATTATATATGATACATTAATTTGTTTAGCATTTATTATGTTCTAAACTCATGCTAATGAGTGCTTTACATGTGACGCCTCATTTAACCCTCCCCAAGGTCCAGTGAAGTGGATGCTGTCATCCTCCCATCTCACAGTGAAGGAAACTTAGATGCGAAAGACGTTATTCACTTGCTTGGGTTAAGAAGCTAGTAAGTGGCAGTCAGGATTTGATTCCAGACCACCCGAGTCCAGGCTTTTATTTTTTGGCCTGTTCTTACTGCATATGTCAAGCTCAGTTTATTCATAGCACAGAATCCCCCTTTACACCTGCTGGCCAGACAGAGCACACAGCCTGCCAGGCTGTTGGACGATCGGGTTAAGCACACTAAAGAGAGCATATACCTTGACGGCGTCCAGGATAGGAACGGCAACTCTTTCTCTCAGCATTCAGGTGAGTCTGGCTCTCCTCCCTCTCCCAGCGTGCCTGCCCTATAGTCCTCATCGGACAGCGCTTGGCCCTGCTCTGCTGCAGTGGGCGATAGGCATGTCTGTGTTTGCTGGAAGGCGCACGAGCAACTGCTGTTCTGTCTAACACAGCAGTCTCAGCCTGAGCCACATATGCATGTGGTTTTATAACCTGGTATTTTCTGTCTTTAATATGTGTGTGTTTAATATTCTACTGGGGTGATTTGTCTTCACAATGATATAAATACTTGTAGGCAATAATGATTTTTCCCACCACCTTTAGTCATCCTTTAGCCAAACTGAATAAATGTTTGTCTCTTTTCATCTTTATGAAGCGGAAGACACTGGAATGCAATCATTTCTGTAGTGGCTTATGTGGTTTTATAGGTGCTATGTGTTCTGTGGTGATAGGATGCTGTATATTTTAGGAGGGAGGGAGACAGAAGGAGAAGCTCAAACGCTGTTGATGCAGAGCGATGAGGTGGGAAATTTAACAGCCGCAAAGATTTACTGGCTAAGTCTAAGGAGACAGCTATCATCTATCAATGAAGCTCACTATGTGACCTTCTTGTATGTAATATATTTAATGACCTGTTGTGCCAAACTTTGAAAGACAGTATCTTCTGGTGTGCTTCTTTTTCTCCCTGTCAAATTATCTTAGAGTAGTTGTAAAATGAAGTATTTTTAAGTGGCTGTGCTAGTTTTTGTGATTTTTCCACAAATTTTTATTGTCCACAAATTTGCTAAATACAAGTATCTTTTGTTATGCAGATGTTTGGTTCTGAGTGCTGATAGTAAGAGTTTGGTTACTGAGGACTAGCTCATCTGAAATTGCTTGTTTGCTAAATTTCAGATAGTGAGTAGCAAGAATTCAGACACACACACACACACACACACACACACACACACGGGAGATATATGCACATCATTTTGGTTTCTCAGGTTTCTCAGTTCCACCAGTAGGCACCTATTACCCGGGTTTCTCGGCCTTGGCACTGTTGACATTTGAGACCAGATAACATTTTGTTGAGGACTGCCTTGTACATTGAAGGGTGCCTACAGCATCCCTCGCCTCCACCTGGTAGATACTAGTAGCATATCTCCCCTCCCCCAGCAGTTGTAACAACGAAATACGTCTCCAGACATTGTCAGGTTACCCTGGTGATGTGGGGGATGGTGGAGGATGGCCACTTTGCCCCTGGTTGAGCACCGCTGCCGTATGCCATTGCACGTAATTAAATTTGTAGGTGATGTGAAACTCAGAAGAATAGCGAAGACTTTTATAGCTACCTAGAGGTACTTCGTTTTGTCAATTGCATAGAGATGGTTTTTAAGGAAGAAAAATACAAATGAAAGAGAGGAAGAGATTGCCTTTAGAAGTTAAGCACAAAAAGGTTATTAAATTTTTTACATAAAAAGACTAGCACATATTAAACCTGTAGTTATATGGTAGCTGTTTCCTTAGACTTGGCCCTGGACTGCCTCTTCCATTGGCTGTTCTTCTCTGGAAATTACCAACACTGCTTACCTATAGGTCCTCTTAGTACCCCGAGAAGCAGTTTTAGATCACCAACTCGTTTTTCCTTATTGGTTATAATTAAACTTCAGCCAACCCTTTTTGGTATTTTGAAGAGTTGAAATTTTCAGCAAGGCAGGAATTTATCAGAGGGTGTGCTTTACAATCCTCCAGCAGCTCCCTGGATGTGGTGCCTGTCACTCTGTTTGGCCTCTGCTGGCTTGGTAATCGATCCTGGGAAACGTACCATTCCTCTATGGCAGTGTGTGCCATATTTTCCTTCCATTTTCTCCTTTGCCCTCCCTCACACATACTCTGTTATTCTTGCATAATGAGTGACGGATAAATGCCATCTTATTATTGCTGTTCTCATTCCCTTCCTGTGAGCTTTTTTTATTTTATTTTATTTTTTTTATTGTTAGTTTCAGGTGTACAGAACAATGCAATAGTTATCCTTTTCACCCTCACAGAGTAACAACCCCTCTCCCCCCATGTGTTGCCCTCCTACCCCCGATATCATGCTTATCTATTACAATTCCATTGATTCCATTCCCCCTCTCTATTCCATGTCCTGAGACTAAATGTATATATAATTATAGTTGACCTTGTGAGCTTTTTACTTCAAAGGCATTTCTCTGTATTTCTGCTTTAATTTGTTTCCACCATTTTGTGAAATTCAAAGTCACTTGCATGCATACTGAAAAAAGTCATCCTTTTATTTTGGAAGTTAATAGAATGTGAAGCTATTGACTTTTTTTTTAATTTAAACTTGTGATACTAAGTTATATGAATGCAGAATTAGTCTGGCTAAATGGCTGCACCTGCCCAAAAACCTTGGTGTGTTGCTAAAACTTTCAGATCTTTAGATATTTTTTCTGTGATACATACATGGTATTACCCTTCAGAAATGTAAATGTTCGTTTTATTTTATATCTGAAAAACATATTGCTAAATTTATGAGTTAGATTTTATTTAGTGAACACATTTTTTTTCTCAGTGGTATAATTATTAGTACCTTTATATTGTTGATGCCCCCCATTAATTAATCAATAAGTGAACCTGATATGTAGTAATTTTGACCCAAAATTTGTTTTATGTTTAAGAGACTGTGCTGTTTTATACTATGACTATGATATCTTTAGCACTGAAATAGTAATTATAAATAAAATCTGTTGTTTTTTTTGTTATATTTCCCCTTTGGAGATACTTAGTTATATTGAAATTTTCATTGAATCTTTTCTAGAATTCAGTTCATATATCTTAGCATCTAGCAGAGCAGTTTTCCCTTAGGGTGTGCCAGAAGAGGAGCAAGTAGTATTGATAATGAAATGGGGCCTTACAAAAATATTTCTAGTACAGCTATAATAATTCAAATAAGAATTGAATTGAGAAGGAAGGAAAAGAGAATTGTTTTTCCTCTTTGAATATCAGTGTTTTGGGTAATGATGGCAGCAAAAAGCTAAAGGACCATTCTAATTTGCCTGTTTTTTTCCTGTGCATTATCTAGAACTTTCTATTTTAATCTGTCTTGTAACCAAAATAATGGAAATATTTTTATTTTCGTGGTAGGAGATGGAATAAACTGAGACTGCAGGACAAAGAGAAGAGTTTGAAGCTTGAAGATGATTCTGAGGAAAGTGATGCTGAATTTGATGAAGGTTTTAAAATACCGGGTTTTCTTTTCAAAAAGCTTTTTAAGTATGTGCCATGTGTTCTTTTCTTTTTATCTGTCATCAAGCCATTGTGTACAAATTAATATTTTAGGAATTACACAGTAGTTACCTGTGGGCCCTTAAGGTACTTGCAGCAATTTATTGCAGATACATATCCTGTCAAATGAAATTTTAGCCACACGCTGTTCATTACAATTAGATGATAATAAATTGACTAAAGTGCGTATTGGGTATGTTTGTAAACTGATGAATCTGTATGGACTTGTCTCAGCAGACTAGAAGCAACACATTTAAAAACCATTTACATTGAGTTGTTTTTTTGTTCTTAGTAATTTTAAGGAACCAAACGTCTTATTTCTTAAATCAGCTTAATTAAGAAAAGTTGTATATTAAAATCAATATTGGGGAGGTGTTTTACTTCTATGTAGAAATAAAAAACTGTTGAGATTACTTTCTGAGTGCCCTGTATTGTACCTAAGGGTGTAATACTTTTGAGCTGACCAAATGCGCATCGAAATATTTTATGTAGATGTTCTGATGTCAGAAAAGAAGATACAGGCAAACACCTTTAAGATTAAGTGATTAAGTTGCTATTTATAACTGACTTATGTTTCAGGTGTGAAGTAGCCCGGCGTTACAGATAGCGGATGCTGTGTGATAGATGCCTGCCTGTAGTCTGTAAGGCCCAGTCAAGTCTCCCGTGATGAATGTAAAATGGGGGTACATTTTCAGTCTCATCACTCCTGAGACTTACTTAGCAAGGTACTTTAGGAAGGCTTCTTTGCTGCAGATAGGAAGTTAGACCATTAAATGGCTTCTTTCTGTCTCTTGGATCATCACTTAGTTGGGTGCAGGATGCAGATTTCTTAGAGATGATTATGTTTAATCTCCTTCATAGACAGTTGTGCAAGATGTTTGTTTAAAAATAGCATGCGTTTTATATTTCCTCTCAAAGAGCTTTTATTTTTCTCAGGGGTGGGGGAAAGACAGGGAGTAGTTATTTTACCCCACTAAGCATATAGGAAAGCCGAATTCTAAAGATATGAAGTGTCCTGATTGGCTTGCAATACTGGACAGAAGAACTGTGAAGAAATTCCAGTCTGAAGCTCTCCAGTAATGTTTGTAGATATTTTATAGAACAGAGAGGTGGCTACTTTGTTTATTGCCTTTCCAAAATGAAAATTAACTATAGAAAAAGACAACATTTATTGGCAACTCTTTTCATCTCCTCTAAAGTGATTGCTTATTAAGGAACAGGCCAAATAATACCAGTGTTGTACTAGCAGAAGGAATACCCAAGTTATAGATTAAATTGATTTATCAAAGAAAGGATACTTCTTTCTACAAGTGATTGGGCAAATATCCTTAAGACTCAAGTTGAATGTGCATTTTTGTATAAATGTGAAATTTTCTAGCAAAGAAATTTCATAGTTACAACCAAACTTTACTTACTAAGAGTATATGTGATTCAGTATGTTGACTATTAACCTTATTGTAGTTAATGTAAACACGTTTTTCTTTTAATTTATCTTAACTGCACATTTTTGAAAAGTGTTTTGTTTTCATTTTTCATGTCTCAAAAACAGGATTTTAAATATTTCATAAATGTTTTAAAACTTCTGTTTCTTTTCTTCTGCTATATGAATGAAAGTAATAGGATTGATAGTTTCCATTTTTCTTTTATGATAAAGTTTTAGCAAGGCCAATTTAATTTTAAGCTGTAGATATATTTTTACTCTATTTACAGCACTCTGTGGAATTAAATTAACAGGGTATTGTTGTACACAAGGGAGTCAGAAGGTACAGTTATCCATTTAAGTGCTATTTTCTGCAAGATCATGTTTAACTTTTAAAATTCTGTTTTGAAAGTTTGCCCAGCAGATGCATTCATCTGTATAATTTAGCAATCAAATGACAAACTTCACTTTTTTAACCTTACTTTTAGCCACACTAGTAAATGCAAGCTTGACTTATTGTGACAATGCCAAGTGATATACCAATAACGTGTGGTTATTTTGTGATGCTTTGCTCTCATGGGAAGAGCAGTTAATTTCTTTACTATTGTACAATAGTTTGTAAAAATCTTTTTAACTTTCCCTGAAGAATAATTTTTTTATGCTTATCAAAGGTTCTGAAAACGGAATTCCATAACCTAATTTCATTTAAAGTAGCGGTTCTAAACCTGTGGGTCGCGACCCCTTTGGGGGTCAAACAACCCTTTCACAGGGGTCTCATATGGGCGTACCTGCATGTGGGCCTGGAGATGGATAGAGGAGCGGTGTCTCGGTTCCTAAGACCATCGAAAATATGTGTTTTCCGATGGTCTTAGGTGACCCCTGTGAAAGGTTGAGAACTGCTGATTTAAAGTATATAATTGTTTTATGGTGCTTATTATTAGAAAATTAAAGCAGTGAAACCTACGTCAGTCAGTGGCACTGCTGGAAGCATAACCCAGGCGCCCACCCTAACTTCTCATCCAGCAATATGTGCCTACCAGCCAGTGTGCTGGTGCAGTCTGAGGGCCTTTCGGGAAACAAAGAGCCACTCCTGTCATCTTCTACACTGTCCCCAGTTGTTTTGGGGATTTCCATGTAGCGATGTGACTTAAGGGGCTGCCTAGATATTTTTTCTTAAGTCATTTCTTTAATGTTAATCATCATCTTATAAACACACAATCCTCTGCTGTTTGAACACCCTTGGAGATTACATTTGTAGACAAGAAAACACCTAGCACACTGACTGCCTCTATTGGGTCACACAGAATCCAAATGTCCTAACTCCCTCCCACATTTCCCTCTGGGATTCCTAACTGCTCACCATTTTTTCTTTCATGATTTCTCCTTGGCTCCTCTCCAGACTCTTCCCACTTTATTTATGTTGATTGGCCCCAAACAAAGAGAGGTGTTGGGCCCCTGTTGTGAGGAGGCATTGCAGTCCAGGAAAACACTGGAATGGCCCCTGTTTTGGTCCCTGCTCTGCCCAGAGGAGCTGGTTCCATAGTTGTTCTGCCCCTCGGTAAAAGGAGGTCAGTCCATTGACTCAAATTTGGTGATTCTGGAAACTGTACAGTAGTCGCTCTCCCCTTATCCAAGGGGCATACGTTCCAAGACGCCCAAAGGATGCCTGAGACCACAGATAGTACCAAACGTTCACCTTTTCACACAAAGGAAGCACTTGAGAGTTTCTCTTTGGCATATCCGAATTGCCAGCATTGGTTGTTAAAGTAAAATAAGGTTACTTGAACACATGCACTGTGATACCATAACAGTCGATCTGGTAACCGAGACGGCTAAGTGACTAACCGGTGGGGAACGTATACAGCATGGAGATGCTGGACAGTGGGGTGATTCACATCCTGGGTGGGACGGAGTGGGAATGCGTGAGATTTCATCACGCTACTCAGAACTGTGTGCAGTTTAAAACTTATGAATTGTTTATTTCTGGAATTTTTCATTTAATACTTTTGGACTGTGGTTGAGTGCAAGTAATTGAAACTGCGGAAAGCGAAACCACGGATAAGGAGGGGACTACTGTATATACAGTACATCATTATTTTTTGAGAGTTACTTGAATACATCTTTTTCCAAAGCTGAGATTAGTCTAGTGTAGCCAGTTCACAACCAGCTTTTATTTTAGATGTGTTTTCTCATCTTCAGCACAACCGATATTTGGAGTTGAATACTTCTTTGTTGTAGGGACTATTACAGTACATTGTAAGATGTTGAACAGCATCTCTGGCCTCTACGACTAGATGGCAATTGCTCTTTCCTGGTTGTATCAACCAGAAATGTCTCTAGGTATTGCCAGATGCCCCCCAGGGAGCAAAATAATGCCCTCCTTGAGAACCACTGGTCAAGATTATCTCTAAAGTGATTTGGAGTCAGAGGTTCTGAATTTTGTTTCTGGCTTGCTCATTTTTTTTTTTTAAAGATTTTTATTGGGGAATTGAGGGATGGGAACAGCGCTGGGGAATTGGGGGAAGGGGAACAGACAAGCTACTGTCCCCCTGCTCTTCAATCCAGCCGTGGAGGACGCTGCCTCACTGGCCCAAGCTGGCACCATCATTGTGCTCTTCCCGGGCGAGGCAGATCAGTCACCGGCTTCTGGACGGCCGCTCACTGCGGCTGCTGGCCGCTCACTCTGGCTGCTGGCTACATACGGTAGCCCATGGCAACCCACTGCCACAGGGGCTGCAGCCTACGCCGTCGCCGGGACCCACGGCAGCCCAGCTCCAGGTTGAGCTGCCGTTCAGCATCTTAGCTGTGGAGGGCAGTGTCACCGGCCCTCATATGTGGGATCCGAACCGGGGCCCTCTGGCGTCCCAAGCCAGCTCCCAACCATCGTGCCACTCGGCCGGCCCTCTTTTTTTTTTTTAATCTGTGTGACCTTTGGCAAGTTACTTAACCTCTCTGTGCCTTTGTTTCCTAACTATAAAATGGGCTGACCATCTCCCCACAGGGTGGTTTTGGGGCTATATGGGCCTGGTGCCTCCCTGGCAGTAGGCTTCTTAAGTGGTAGCCTTTATTCTCTGATTACATACCACTTATTAATAGAACTTGCCCTTCATCCCAAATTAAATGACCTCTTAGCCATACTACACTTACTATGCTTGGATTTTTAATCCTTTTTTTTCAGGATTTGTATTCATTGTGTAGTATACTTAGCAAGCTTAGTAAAGCAGCAAAATTCTCATTCAGAGTTTTTCTTATATGATAGATAATAATGGCAACAGCTAGAGTCAAACTTTTGGAATTGACTTGCAGAATACTGGGGGAAAGTTAATTATGACATATTTACTGAGAAAATATTAAGTAAAATGAGTTCAACAAGGACTAAAGTCCATAGTGAGATTTTAGGTGGATGTACCATGTACCAAATAGTAAACATTTGGACAGTAAAATAACAAAACCACTTTGTTTTATGGTGGAAGGCTCGTTAGTCTTGGTATTTTCTTTGAAAAAAAACAAACAAACTTGGATTTCATTATCTTTTAAGTGTTTTCTGCTTTAGATTATTTTTTAACTTGGCCTATATATCTTTATCCCATTCCATGATGTTAAATCTTTCACTCTCAAAAATTCTTTTTGCATTATTCCTTTTTTAAACTTCATTTTTAGATTATAGATTAAATGTGCTATTGATAGAGAATGAAAAACCAACTTTTTTTTTGTAGAAGGGACTGTGTTATTTCTTTGACCTGTACTCCTTATTTAAAATTTTAATAACTCTCATGTTTTTGTATCTATGAAAAAGTCCTTGGATCAAGTTCTGCTTTAATATATTAAAAAGACCTTTGTATTCCTGAGTCTTTAATCTGTTCTTTTTTGCATCTGCTAGTAATATGACAGAATCATCTGTTATGTACTAATTTTTTGAGCAGCTCTATTATTCAGACTTGTTTATGGCCTTAAAATTTAATTTAATTTTCCTATAAAAATAATATGATTACCAAGTGACTTTTCAGCAGTATATACTGTAGATTGTGGTAGTCTCTTGTCCTGCTTTTTGATGCTGTTCACACCTTTTTTTCCATAGAAAAGTTATTGGAACTTAAAAATCTAAAAATATTTGAGGCTTTTTTCCAGAAATATACTAAATGAAAAATAATAAGTTATGCTTATTTACAAAGCTATTTTTAATGTTGAAAAAGAAATGAAATAGTCTGCAATTATGCCATCTATCAGTTTAATTAGAAATGTGTTAACATTCTGTAAAGAAAAATCTGTGATTTTATGCCTAGGTAATCAAAAATGTATGACCTTATAAATATAATACTCATGTAAAACACATATCCAGCATGTTTCTCTGACTGGTACTAGAACCTAGCCAAATGATTAATTCATGAGTACTTTCTGTTATGATCTGTATTACCCACCATTTGCCATTTTCTTTTTCTTGTTGGTGTTTGTTGTAGGTACCAGCAGACAGGTGTTAGGTGGCTGTGGGAATTGCACTGCCAGCAGGCAGGAGGAATTCTGGGAGATGAAATGGGATTGGGCAAGACCATCCAGATAATTGCCTTCTTGGCAGGTCTGAGCTACAGCAAGATCAGGACTCGTGGTTCAAATTACAGGCAAGTGCTCCTCTGCAGACTGTCAGTCTGTGGAGCTCAATTAATATTTCATCAGATGTATTGCTGTGGAGGAGGGTTTTGTGAATTATTGATGACATTTCAATTACAATATTCCTTTAATTCTTTTAGTGGGGGACATCAAAGGAAAATTTTTACGAGACGATGGAGCTGTAGGGCAGGAGAAATTAAACATGTAACACTTTTAATGAATTCCAGGCATTGATGCTTCATTTTGCAGATGAGCCCCACTAGATATTTTGGGTCAATACAGTGTCTAAGGTTAGCTTCTGCAAATGGATTGTTTACAAACTCAATTATGTTAATATCAATAGTTTACACAATATGGAATTTTAAATTAGACATAATACTTTTAGTCCCATTTATTAAATTTTATAGTAAAATATTTGTTCTGGCAGGAGACCAGGTGAGCATTACACTAAATACAAAGTCTATTCATGGGGAAGTTGGAGCTTTTGAGAAGCCATTCTCCCGAATTTCTTTTATAATCAGTGTGCATGAGAGCGTTTAGATAGCACTTTTTTTTTTAAATGAAGTTACTCGTCTGCTCACTATGCTTTCTACCCCCTCTCCCAATCTTTAAGAATTTTATATAAATTCTAAGGCCAAAGTCTGAATGACTATCTAAAACGATAGAAAACTATGTTTAGATTTTAATCTTTACTCTCTTTAGGAATTTAAATAAACTATTAAAGCTGTAGTATTCTGAAAGAGTAAGCATTTAAACTGTGTTCGGTATGGTAGGACTGAAATACTTTGTTGAAATTGGTACACTGACTGTTTCCATATTTGAGCTGTAAATTGGCTTTATGTAAATCTGTATTGGTAAAAATAATGCTAGGTGAGTTATGTGGGCTATTTAACCTTGAACCCAGTTAACCTGAGAGCTTCTTAGATTCCAGTAACCTTACCTCGAATAACAACAGGAAGATGTTTAGCAGATGATTATGTCGTAGAAACTTCAGGCACTCACTAGATAAGATTGGGACACGCCTTAAAATGTTGTCAGTGCACCTGAAGTCAGCGGCTGCAGATAGCTCCTGTGCTGCACTCTGGTTCATTGGCTAAGATGTGCTTAGTAGAGAGCCAAATACAGACCATAAACTACTGAGCGAAGAAGTTTTTTCTTAATCTTCAGAATTTAGTGCCTTTTTTTTTTCGTCCTTCATTAATTTAGCAGATCAACACATCTCATGAGGCGTACTTAAAGTTTTGGAATATTTTAGGAATATTTATATAAATGGAGGAAGAAAAAAAACACTTGGAGACTTTAAAATACTAAATATTTTGTTGTTATTACAAGGAAGTTGTATTGAAGCAGAGATTTTTCTTCAAATGTTAGAATTCTATTGCATTTTGCCTGGAAATATGAAAACATTGTAGTTCAAGGGAAAAGTCAAAGTTGAAGATGGTCATTGAGTGTTTTCTTTTCTGTGACTGTCATTAGCACTTGTAAAAATGCTTTCTCTGTTCTAAATAAGCTCTTCAGTTAGCTTGGTTCTGTAACTCTACTTGGGTTTTTTTGTTTTTTTGTTTTTTTTGATACTAAAGAGTCCCAGGCTGCCCCACATAGTTTCTAGGACTGTCTTTCTTTCCGTAAATGATTTCTGGGATTTTCTTATTTCCCATCTCTTTCTTTCCTTTCTCTTCCTATTATAATGAAACGTGCCGGAATCCAATACTCTGGGCCTAGGAAGCCTAAAGTCATCCCTGCAGTGTAGTTTTGGTCTAAAAATTAAAACATGCTCTCTGGAGTAGTGACAACCCTACTAGGAGTGAAGTCAGGGCTAATAATGAGCAGCTGTAATCAATTAACTATCAATGCTCATAGCCTCTTTCCATAATGAAATAGTGTGGCACGTTGGCCTGTAGCCCAGATCGTCTTCATTAAGATAGTATTGGTAGAAGGGCTTCCCAGAATGTGGTCATATATCAGCCAAACAACTGGGCTCCTTATGAATAGAGGTGTACTGAGGAACTTGAGCCCTCCACTTCCATGTGCCAGAGCAAAATGTAACATTTTCTAACAATTTTATAACGTGCTCTCCTCTGAAACTAAGTGAACTTGGAGTTCTCCTCTATGTTTATGTCCGAAAAAAGTAGAGGTTCAAATGAAATTGAATATAGTCAAGTGCTGGGAGCCGGCATTGTTTCACTAGCTGTGCTCATTTCCTCTGAACTCTTGCAAGCTGTAGATTTCGGGGCCCTAATTTGAGATGGTTTTAGTATTGCAATTTTAAGGTCTCTGGGATGCCAAGAAGAAACTTCGTGGTAAAAGAAATTTTTTTTTAATGTGTTTTCTATGTGTGTGTGTTTTTAAGAGGGAGAAGCATCTTATATATGGTTCATAAACATCTATACTGGTTATTGTGTTCATAGTGTACACTCTATATTCTTATCACTTTGCCATTCATATTATAATGATGGGTCCCCCTAAATTTTACGGTGGAGAAGAAATAGGTTATTTATCTTTCAAACTCCAGTTAATACTTTAGAGTCTTGGATATCATTTAGTAAACTCCTAATTATAAATAAATGGCCTGAAAAAAGTTAAATATTTCAAAGGTAAATGTTTTATTTTGTAATTCTTGGTAAGTTCTAGGCTATTATAGATTTCCATCTTGCAGATTGAAATATTTGACTCTGGAACTGTTGGCTTGTCCTAAATTAATTTGGTAATCAATGATAATCAGAAATGAAAGGAATGGTAGCCAGTTTTGTAATTGATGCTAATCACTCCAGTACATTTAGCCATTTCTAATGCCCATCTCACCAGTATTGAGGGCTGGAAAGGGGGAGTTCAGTTGATGTGACTGTTAATGGATTTGATTGCCCCTTCTGTGGTTCAGGAACAATGTAGGTCTGCTCCCAGATTTTCACTCAGCGTGAAGACCTCCATAGTTGTCTACTGGGGGAGAATGGCAGAAATTAAAGAGCATAAAAAGGCCAAATAGATATTCAGCCAAAATAAAACATGGGCATTAAATGACAAGAGTGTGAGTCATCATTGTAGCAGTTTGCAGAAACATGTCATAAAAAAAGAGAAAACACTGTATAACCTGAAAAAGGTATGCATTTATACTTATTTGAAAGTGAGTTTGTTTTTAACTATTTTAGCCAGGTTTTGATTGGTTGTTTCCTGCTAAGGATGTATTGATGGTAACTTTATTCCCCTTGGAGGATATGGAGAAGCTGGTGCATTTAGTCCTTTTAGAAAGGAATATTGTCTTGGAAGGGCCACTGGCAGAGTCACGCTCTCCCCAGGAAACCTACAAGGGACCTGTGCTTGGTGAGGGGCAAGTAGGGTGTGGGAATTCTGCCGGGAGTGTCGGAGTCTCTTTCTGGCTTCTGTAGTCTGAGCCCTTTCTGTGGAGGAGAGGGGCAGTGACTATAGCTGGAGGTTGAGATGATTTGGAAGGAGGTGGGCACATTTTGTCTCATTGGAGTATAAGGGTAAGCCTCACGTAAGCTATGGCTTATTTTTCTATTAGAACTACAAGGTATATTTTAGTTGTGCAAAAGATTATTTTTAATATTTCAAACACTCTGTGATTTACTCTTAAGTTACAATTTTCCTTTTAAGTTCGAGTCATTTATTGAGATGTAGCAAGAAAATAAAAATCACCCATGGTCCCCAACTTAGAAACAATCTTGTAACCTTTCAATATATTTTTTTCCAGCCTTTAAAAAAATTTTGATTTAATAAAGCCAGTATCCACTAATTACCTCCTGTGGTTTAGGCATTGAGATCATTTGAAGAAAAGGCTTTCTCTGCCCTCAAGAAGCTTAGGAAGGACCTAACACACAGTGACAATAGGGTGATGCGTGTTATAGTAGGGTTAGTGTGGGGCTCTCATTAGTGGGGTTGTACCGAGGAAGGGTCCTTAGCCTGTGTGGAGAGAGGGACAGGGAAGAATCTAGAGAAGAAACTGAGGTCTGAAGGACAGATGAACCGTGGCTAGTATAAAAGGATAAGGGACAAGGCAAAGGGTGAGAGGTCAGGGTTATACGCTTTGTAGGAAGTGAAGCCAGAGCTGGCACGTGGAGTGCTGAACCTCAGGGGCAGGTGTTGGAGAGGGGCGGTACGAGGTGAGGCTGAAGAGATGAGCAGAGGTCAGATCCTGTGGTCTAATAGACCAGGCTCAGGTGTTTAGACTGTCCCAAGAACAGTGGGCAAACAACACTTAGGCAAAGGGATGACGCATCTAGATTTTGTTTTTTTGAAATGATTACGTTAGAAAGTACAGTAACTCAGGTGAGAGATGACAGTGACCAGAACTGGAGTATCAACAGTGTAGATGGAGACACAGGGTGGCTTTGAGAGGGATTTAGGAGGTTGATGTGACATGAACTCTATAGGTTGGGTAAGGTGGAGAACAAGAGGGGCAGACCAAGGACGAGACCTGGATTTCCAATTTGGGCACCTGGAGAAGAGGTGACAGTTCTTTCCTTTGGATTAGGAAACATGGGAAGAGGGCACGATTGGGCCGGTAGCGGGGTGGAGGGATGTGTGGTGCCATGGGGACATGTAAGTGATGTAAGTGAATATCAGCCAGCGATTAGACATCCAAGAATATGGTACTTTGGACTTCAGGAAGAGTTGTGGACTGGAGACCTATTGTAGATTTGGGTATCATCGGTGTAGAGAGAGTAATTGAAACTATGGGAATTAATGAGATAACACTGGGGAAGTGTGTGCAGCGTGCATCTAACGTCAAACATTCAACATCTGTGTTGGACAGAAAAAAGTCAGGAGGCAGGAAAATGACAGTTTAAAAGTGCCAGTGACTGACTGTTCCAGAGTGAGCGAGAGGCAAGCCTGTGGGTCTGCAGTGTTCTCAACTAGTAGTCTCTTAAAACATGAACTGAGCATAAATCTCGTGTTGTAGAAATTCCCAGAGTCACTTTGATGTGTTGAGTATTTATTTATGCGCTGACTAGCACCCGGCTCCTTGCAAGACTGCAGACGAAGGCAGCTACAGTAACGGGGGTGTTGCTGTGGTGGGGCACGGCTCGCAGCAAGGCGGAGGGATACCTGTTCCATTGTAACAGGAGGGCAAGGGAGGGCAGATGGCACAGACTCAGCCAGGCTCCTACAGTGTGCAATATACTAGGGTATTTTGACTGCAGGTAAATAAAACCCGGCCTCTAATTGGGTTAAACGTTCATTATATGTGTGATACACCTAGAAACCTACATAGTGGGTGGGCTATAGACACAGCAGGATCAGTAGCTTAGCAGTGTCTTCAGGGACCAGGTTCTTAAATTTTCCATTTAATGTTTCTGGGCTGAAACCACAGAAAGCAAAACCGAGAATAAGGGGGATACTGTCAGTCCTCCTTTACACTGCGCGAGCCAGTCTTCCCAGGTTCTGGAGTGGACTAGTGAGCGTCCCGGGGGGCGGTATGTGCTGACAGCCTGCTGTGTGTCCCCACCTCACTCTAGCCAGACTGGTCAGAGTCCCAGCCAGTTCATGGCTGGGAAGGAAGAGGGATACCTGCACAAAACTGGGGTTCTGTTAGGAAGGAGAGAGAGGACAAAAAGATGTGGAGATGGTGGCCACGAGCAGTCTGTCGGCTGGCTGCCTGTGTGTAAGTAAGTTGGGGAGATTCCATAAGTAATTTTGTTTTTTAAAAGACATTATGAACATTTTTCCAAGTTTTTAAATATCCTTCAAAAATGATGTTAGTGGTTATATGACACTCCATTTTATTTAACAAACTCTTATAGTATTTACTGTACAGTATTGTTGTAAGCACTTTACAGATATTAACTGATTTAATCTTTATATAGCTCTATATAATCAGTACTATTATTATTCCCACTTTAAGAGGGGAAACTGAGGTTCAGAGAGGTTAAGTAATGTGCCAACGATCACAGTTTGTGTGTGCAGAGCTGGGTTCAGACCCAGGCAGGGCCCCTAATCACTAGCCTGTTTTGTGTTAACAAGATGATTTAGTCAGCCCTTCTCTTATTTAAGGATGTTTAGGTAGAAATAGGAAATAAATAAATAGGAAAACTAGGCCCACTTTCTCCACAGTATAAGTAATGCTGCAGTGTGAATCCCGGTACATAAACGTTTCTTTGGGATTGCTGGGCGAGCATGTGACCGTTGTTGAGGCTCTTGCTGTGTCACACTCAGCTGCTTTACACAAGAACAGCGCAGCCTGCACTCCATGGCATGGGCTTTCCACTAGAAATGGCCACTGTATACTCCTCCCCTTTTTTATCATGTGGAGAAAAGAGCTGCACGATACATGAAAGAACAGGCTACAGCTTTCAGGAGACTGGCTCTGGGCATCGGTCCATCTCCTGGTATAACCATGTTGCCTTGTGCACGTCACCCTTCCAACCCCCAAACATGAGCATTTCAGTCTTGCTGACTTCCCAGGACTGTGAGATTAGTTGAAATTCTGAGGGTGAAAACTCTTGGTAGACTGTATAGGCTCAAACAAATTGAAGATGCTCTTATGTTCACTTAGGTGAAGATACACTATGTAATTAATACCTTCATTAATCTGGAATAGAGGAGAAAAAGTATTTTTGTCACATAATTTTTGTTTGATTTTCTTTTACTTTAGATATTATATTTTAATGTATTTTCTGGTGTTTTCTCTTAATACCTGTGTTTACTAATTGATGAATGGGATTGAAGAGATTTCACTTGGTTTTAACCTCAATAACTTTTTCTTTAAAGAAAATATCAATATGTTTCCATAGCTAGGATTTTCTTTTTTGAACTGTTTTTGAAAAGTTTTGTTTGTTTCTTTTTTGTTTTTTGGTAGTTGATCATCCATATGCTGTCATTGATGGTTGTGTTTTCTTCTTGGATGTTTTGGGTGCAGGTTCGAGGGGTTGGGTCCAACTCTAATTGTCTGTCCAACAACAGTGATGCATCAGTGGGTAAAGGAATTTCACACGTGGTGGCCTCCTTTCCGAGTGGCAGTTCTACACGAAACTGGCTCCTATACCCACAAAAAGGTAACATTACAACACTTCAGAACCTTTCGTTTGTTTTGTCTTAAAGCCCTCCATTTTACATACTTGTTTTTTCTTTGATCCATGTATTTCTCATAGGTATGTTTCTGTGTTTCTCTTCATGCGTTTAAACTTGTTACTGATTTATAGCTCTGTGTTTTTAAAACAATTCTGAACATAGGCTTTATCATTCACAGTCCCTAGTGGCAGTGTTGGCCAGTGAAACAAGTGGGCACGGCCTGAGCGCGTGAGTGGGCCTGTGAGTCAGGGACCTACATAACAGTTAACTGGCTAGATTGGGGGCACTGGCAGCTTTAAATGATTTTAGGAAGGTGGGTACAAAATGTCATATAATAAGTCTTAACTGGCAAATGCATGTGTTAATATTCTTTTCAAACACACTTTTAATGAACGAAAGAACAAGCTGCCATTTTGAGAATTTTACAATTTGCATTTGTTGCTTTTTAGTAATGATGATGAATCCTTGATAATCAGAGAACGATAATCACTGTATTTTCATAGTTGTATTTCCTCACTTATTCATAGTTTTAGCCACATTATCTAAAAGGAGGTTTAATCTGTGCTCTTGTGGGTAACCTAGATATATTGTATTATGCTTTTTTATGCTCATCTTTGTCTCACCATCTGGACTACAAGGTCCATAGAGTAGGACTGTGTCATACTCCTTTTTGTATCCCCGGTGCCCCATAAGCATTTGTTGAATAAACATTTTCACTGTGGGTTTGCAGGTTGTTTTATTGACAAGAAGTGGCCATTTATTATGAGTTCTTTCTTGCCTGTGTCTTTGGAGCTCTTGAGTGAGGTCTCGGGTACCCCATGAAAGAGCTCGTGAATGTTGGCCTCACTGAGTTAGACACACGTGAACCGCCACACTCCATTGTTCCTTTAATTTTGCCAATACTCCTTTCCTCCATATTCCCATCTTGTTTACGACTGTGAGTAAGCAGAACTTTGATAAAAGTGAATCAGGAATATCTATAATTTGGTAGCTCAAGTTTGGTGAGAACTTATACTAGATGTTGTCAAACTAACTGACTTTGCCCTGAATTTTAAATGATAAATGTAAAGTAAACTGAGTTTAAATATAAATGCTGTGATCCAAAAAAAATAAGCAGTGATGTTTTTAGCATCGTAATAACAGCTTAGATTTTTTTTTCTAGTCAAAATGAATTGTTGTGATCATCCTGTTATCACCCTTGTAAACATTTTTATTCCTGTTTTCACTTCCATTCTCTGTTGACACGTCTTAATTGTATTGTTTTGTATTGTAAATTCTGTAGCTCGATTCATTTATTGATGTTTGTCTTTAAAAGGCAAATTTTTCATATGTTCCTCTTTATTTGCTTTTCTTTTGGACTAGTGAAGTGTGTATATTTCTTTTTTTTTAATTAATTTTTTTTATTGATTTTTATTGTTTCAGGTGTACAGAACAATGCAGTAGTTATCCTTTTCACCCTTCATATAGAAACAACCCCCCACCCCATATACTGCCTTCCCACCCCCAATATCATACTTATCTATTACAATTCCATTGACTCCATTCCGACACTCTACTCCACATCCCGTGACTATATGTATATATAATTATAGTTGACATACAATATTATTCAATATCAGCTTCAGAAATAACAGTGCAGTGGTAAGGCCTCTACGCCGACTTTGAAGTGGTCTCCCTAACAAGACATGAATCCATCTGGCCCCCTAGAAAATATTTACAACATTATTGATTATATTCCCCAGACTGTCTTGTCTATCCCTGAGGCCATATTGAGTTACCAATTTGTATTGTCTCAACCCTTCCCCTTCTCCTTCATCCCCACCCCCTCCCAACTAGCAACCCTCAGTTTTTCCTCTGTCTCTGAGACTATTTCTGTTTACATTTCTCATTCAGTTTTTTAGAATCCATGTATAAGTGAGATCATATGGTATTTGTCTTTCTCTGACTGACTTATTTCACTTAGTATAATGTTCTCTAGTTCCATCCGTATCGTTGCAAATGGTACTATTTCCTTCTTCTTTATAGCTGAGTAATACTCCATTGTGTAAATGTACCATACTTTCTTAATCCAGTCATCTACCGATGGGCATTTCGGTGTTTTCCAAGTCTTACCTATTGTGAATAGCACTGCAATGAACATAGGGGTGCATGTATTTTTTCGGATTAATATGCCTTGGGGTTTTCTGGATAAATACCTAAGAGTGGAATTGCTGGGTCATATGGTAGTTCCATTTCCAGTTTTTTGAGATACCTCCATACTGATTTCCATAGTGGCTGCACCAATCTGCAGTCCCACCAACAGTGCACCAGGGTTCCCTTTTCTCCACAACCTCTCCAGCATTTGTTGTTTGTTGACTTATTGATGATAGCCATTCTGACCGGAGTGAAGTGGTATCTCATTGTGGTTTTTATTTGCATTTCCCTAATGATTAGTGAGGTTGAACATTTTTTCATATGCCTGTTGGCCATCGGTATGTCCTCTTTAGAGAAATGTCTCTTCATATCCTCTGCCCATTTTTTAATTGGGTTGTTTGTTTTTTTTGGTGTTGAGTTGCATGAGCGTTTTGTATATTTTGGATATTAACCCCTTATCAGATATCTTGTTGACAAATATTGAAGTGTGTATATTTCATACCTTCACTTGGAACATGGCTCACCTGCATTCCCTCTGTAATTATACCTGAAGAAATACCTTCATGTAGATGAAATACATTGACTCATTAATGGAAAAAATAGATTAACATTGGTCAGTGTCTCTGTAATGCTCCCTTAACTTGTTCAGGGGACAAACCTTAAAGAATAGATATTTCATTCTTATTTACAGTGATTCCACCTTCTGAGGTTGTTTTGCAGACACAGACACATGGATACATATGACTGGTTGTTCATAATTTTTTTCAGTGCTTTACAGTTCACCAAGGACTTTAACTTGAAGTTTCTTAACTTTTGAGGAAAAGTGGTAGTCTTGCGTTTTTATTCTCACCCTTACCTCTTTCTACTGTTCCTTTTTCATTGTAAAATATTACAGATCTCTAAAGACGTAAACTGTTATGCAAAGGATCAAGATGATGTGCTCTTGCATCATTCAAACCATAGTCTCGACTTAGAAACACAAGCAGTTTATTGTTTATTAGGAATACTAATGTCATTCTACTAATTGTGATGATGACACATCAAAAATGTGTTAATTCCTTTGCACAGACCTTGTTAGTAATACTTCCAAGATCAAAATCTTGGCTTTTGGATTCAAGCACCAAAGAAGTATTTAAATGATCCTTCTGCTCTGTCCTATTTTATTTGTAGGTACAGATCTTTGTCACCACCTCCTGCACACCTGTTGGCTCACAGATGTGCGTTGGATTGCAGTAGAGTTGTTTCTTAATCATATTTCAAATATTCTGCCAGTGCCAGCCTGGCCTCTGAGCCAACCTTTTTATGTCTGACTTCCTTTCCATCCTTATCAGCTGCGATTCCTTTGTTTTATGGGAGCTTTCTGTGCCCGCTGGCTGTCCTGTGTACTTATAATAGTGGTTCCAGCATAGGGACTTTCAGTGCTGGGGAAATAAGGAAGAGAAGGGGATTTCTCTTTTAGATACTTACAAAAGTAATAATGCCAGAATTGTTCTGCTCATCGTTCAAATGTATTATCATCTTTATTATCCTAATGATTTGTTGTATCTGATATGACAAAATTTTGAAATTTTTGCTTTTAGAGACCGTATCAAATGATCAGTTTCTGAGTGATGCGCATGTATCATTCTTCTTCCCTAAATAGACTTTTAGCTTACCACCTCTTTTAACACTTGATCCTATGTTATCTTTGTTAATATTCTATTTGAGAGCATAATTTAGAATTATCAAATACCATGCAAAAAATGTGTGGCTAATATTTCCAACCAACCAATCAAATCAGATAAAAGACATCTTAGCCTTCTGAATCTCCTTTTATGATCAGTTGAAATCTCAGTTAATAGGAGTCAAAAGATTTTCCCTTTCTTGTTATATTTTGTGACCCCTTTTTCTAACATAGAGAAACTTGATGTGTGAATCAGTTAATATTTATTTGTTGAATAACTATAAACATAATATTCCAGGTATTTGATGCTGTTAGGCTCCAAAAAATGGATATGTTGTTTTTAACTGACCTTGAAAAGCTAACCGTTTTCTTAGGGAAAGAAACAGTTGTCACTTTATGTCTCTCCCACCTTTTTGTTCTATGTAGGATATAGTAATTCTGTGGAATAGTAATTCAAAGAGTTTTATCTCATTTTGATTAATTCATGGCATTTAGAGGCTCCGGAGTGGGAAATGCAACCATGGTATAATGGTTTAAAGCATAGATTTTGTAACTACAAGACCAGGGTTTGAGTCCTGGATTTGTCATTTTATAGCTTTGTGTCCCTTGGGCAAGCCACTTAACTTCTCTGAGCCTAGTTTGATCTCCTGCAAAATGGGATTTTTTTGGTAATTTTGTGAGTATTTGTTGGGTTAATATGTGTGCAGGAAAAGGTTACATTTACTCAGGTAATATTTACTTAGAAAAAAAGAATATTGTAGACCTCTTTATCTCAATAGTTGAGAAAAGAGGCTCCGACATTGTGATTCATTCAATATAAATACATTCTGGATAGAAGGTTCACACCTGCTTTATAAAAATATGTGCATGATGATTCACGTGTAGACCTTTTTTTTCATGTCCAGATACATTTGGCCCCAAATGAAATAGAATGTTAAAATTCTTTTGGGGAACTACAAGGAGTGGTTAAAGAACAAACCAACCACACAGAAACATGGGCATCTGATGAAACTATCATTGTGTGTTCTTTAAAAAGGCCTGTTTTCTGAAACACTAAAGTAACACAGCTTGGCTTTTTTAAAAGCTGGATGGAAGTCAAGTAAAAACATAACAAAAGTAGGGAAGGGCCACACAGCCCCTCAAGCATCCTAAATATTTCAACCCGTTCCAGGTACACAAATTACTACG